ATGAAGGGAGTCTGTCTCCTGCCAACCACCCTCATGTTCTGCCTCTCTGTGTTTCCAGTTTACATACAGGCCATCCTCTAGTCTAAGGCCTAGGCTCCACGGGAACGAAAACGGATTGTACCCGCATATTTCTCTTGCGTATAGCCCTTTAAGCTACACGACGCCGTAATGGAACGGTAGAAACGGACCCAACGGGTCCAAAGGTGGATAGATCTGGGAACGGAGCACTCTGGGGGGTCCAACGGGGCCGTGTGGCAGCCTATACGGTCATCCGTTTCTGATAATGACGACGCAATAACCCTGCCTCTCCCCACCTCTGCTGCTCACCCCCGCATAAGTACACTGCACACTGAATTCAGATTATTTATCTTTATCTCGATATGGACATAAACGCGAGTGAAGTCTAATCTGACAGGACGGAGACACGCAGCTCCTCCCGCTGTGATGCAGCGGGAGCAAAACACACACTTCAAGTCAGATCATCACCCTTAGCTATTTTAATTACCTCTCAAACTACCTAAACTAGTTATAAATATGTTTATTTTTACTGTCGGGTCACTCATTACTGGATCAGCTGCTGCATGAGACAGACACTGATGCTGTGAGAAGAGAGGAAAAAGAGACAGCCTCCGTGTATTTTATTATTAAATTATTATATAGAGTCGTTATTAATTTATTTTAAAGCTTAATAAATAACAAAGAAGACCTTTGACCGGCACTTTTATAATTTTGTCCGGAAGATTGAAACTTTAACACACGTTGACCGGCGAAAAACTCTGCCCGGTTCCCTCGGCCCCCACCGCGGAGAATAAACAGAAGGGCAACCATGACAACCATTCTTCTTCGCTGCTTTTGTGGAGGAAGTTGCTGCTTTTGTGGAGGAAGTTACAGCGCCACGTACAGGCTCGGCATATGTACTGCAGCTTTTCCAGCGGTTGGATGTAAACGGAGCTGTCTCGTGTAGCAAGACACAATCCGGTGTATATTGCGTGTGGACGGAAGCTTTTTGGCGTTTGCGTTAATCCTATGCGTTTTGCCGTATGCGTGGAGCCTGGGCCTAAGGCTGCCTTTACACGGGAATGTTTGCGTTTACGCACCGTATGCGTTTAAAAAAAAAAAAAGTCTTCACACGCTTTCGATTCATTTAACGTGTCTGTTCACACGAGACCGCTCGACCCGCTGGAAACGCTGTAGTACATATGCCAGGCCTGTAAGTGGCGCTGCTGCCGCCACAAAATACACCAAAAGCAGCGAAGAAGACCCCGGAGCATGGTTGCCATGGTTGCCCTTCTGTTTATGCCCCGCGGTGGATTTAGCAACATGTAGTAGTTCATGTAATTCTCCATGTCCACTTGTTGCTGATGGTTGTGGTAGAGGAGCTGTAGATTTTGCACTAACATCTGTAGCATGGTCAGTAACAGTAGCACTAGCAGTAGCTACTGACAGTAGCTACTGACCATGCTACAGCAGTGAGCAGCAGAGGTGGGGAGAGGCGGGGCTATGGCTTCATCTATTGGGAAATGATCGTATAGAGGCGATTACACGGAGCCGTTTGACCCCCCAGAGCGTTCCGTTTGCAGATCTATCCACCTTGGGACCCGTTATCGTTTGCGGGGTCCGTTTCTATCGTTTTGTTACGGCCTCGTGTAAATAAAAGGGCTATACGCAAGAGAAACTATGCGGATACAACCCGTTTCGTTCCCGTGTAAATGGGGTCGAAGGCCCCGGCCCCAGGAGGACGCATACGGTAAACCGCATACGCAAACGCAATCGCAAAAAAGGCTTCCGTCCACACGCAATAGACACCGGAAAGTGTCTGTTCACACGAGACAGCTCCGTTTAGCTCCAACCGCTGGAAAAGCTGCAGTACATATGTGTCCATGTCCTGTTGTTGCTGATGGAGGAGCTGCTGTAGATGTTGCACAAAGAACTGTAGCATGGTCAGTAGCGTCTGGAGCACGATAGCAACGATGCGATCCGCCATTGTTGTTGTTGTTGGCGAAACACATCAGCAATGACGCGGAGGTGAGCAGGAGAGGTGGGGAGAGGCGGGGCTATTGCGTCATCATTATCAGAAAATGATCGTATAGGGCGTAATAACGGAGCCGTTGGACCCCCCAGAGCGTTGCGTATGCCGTTCTATCCACCTCGGGACTCGTTATCGTTACCGTAGTCGTTTACTGCCATATTCTGTCGTCCTAGTGTGGCCGAACAGTCTATATCAGTGGTTCTCAACTGGTGGGTCGCAACCCAAAAGTGGGTCGCGGACCCGTTTCAAGTGGGTCGCGGATGTGTGAGTGAAGAAAAAAAAGTTGAGTCTTCTGGCCAATCAGAATCAAGATTGTTGCCGGAAGTCCCCACGGAGAATAACTGCGGTAGAACTATTCTTTATACATCCATGAGTACAACTTCAGATAAAAATGAACACATAATGAAATATGACCCCCGGTTTGATGATTGACAGGTCACAGAACAATGGGAGCTATCTACCCTTACCCACAATTTAAAGTAAGTCACACAGACTATCTCCTCTTTACTCTTCTCTCAGCAAGCTGTCAGAACTAAGTGAAAAACAAACAATGGCATAAAATATTATTAATATGTCGGGTAGTAATAGATTTATTTATTTTCTTCTCAGAGTGTACCAGAATGCGTAGTTTATGTTAGTATTTCTAAAAATCTCCTGGGGGAGAATCCCCCCAGACCCCCCTGCTGGGGTTGGGTTTTCAGCATGTGTGCCTTTTTATATAGTTCAGCTTTGATTCCATCATCTCATTAAACCTTTTTTAAAAGCACACTTTAGTTCTGTGAAGGGATATATGCACTGTACTTCACTTTTATTAATATTGTATTCTGAAAAGCGTATATATTACAGCACGATTTTTTGTTGAATAGATTTGAGTGCTTCAAAATGTTGGGTCACGATGTATTGACCAAGTAAAAAGTGGGTCCCGAGGCCTAACCAGTTGAGAACCACTGGTCTATATGACACAAAACTGTAACGGAAACTACCGTATGCGTCCTCGTGGGGCCGGGGCCTAAAGCACAACTTTAAACAATATACAGTATTATATAATGGGACAGAAAATGTAGCTCCCAATCCCTTTACTCCCTCCATTTTAATAATGCTTTGTTTGTATGGAATCTTTAATGGTATAAATATGTTTCAGAATGTTTCCTGGATTTTAATACTATACATTATATTATATATAATATAAAGAAACTAGAGACAAAGCTATTTTGTTGAGGTGAGATTGCTTATTGCCATTTGAAGCAATAACAAAACAAACACATTTAATACTCATATCTAAACCTTTATCACTTTCTTGCGAGATCCGACACAATGTTTCACGGTTCAATAGTTGACACATTTCTTGGAGACTCTCTTACAGGTGTAGGTGTTTTTCTTATCAATGTGCATTATTGTACCATTACGGTTTATCCAATTAGGGACTTTATTTTTTAACAAAACCCTTGAAACTGCATTAGTAACAGTTTGTTAAACACATTCAGAGCAGAGGCCATGGCACACTCACATGCTTTTATCATCTGTCTGTTTATTTTCATCGCACATTTAATAAGGGCCGGATCATGACCAGATTGTGATTTTTAGCTCATGGGCAGAAATTGCACTGTTATCATGGTTTGGCATTGCCCAGCCATGTTTGATTTAATTGGGAAAGGTATGGACTTTTTTATCAATTATCTTTGGATTTATTTTCACTTTTTTCAATCTGTTCTACTCTCATCTGCGTAAATGAAATCTATTTTCTCTCAGTCTTCTTCCTTTATTATAACCTTCACTTATTTTCTAAAATGCAATCAACCATTCAATGAACCAGTCAGTAAATGTTCTGGAGTGTGTACAGCATGCTGGTGGATCCTGAGCTGAGTGAGCAATAACATACATTTCTTAGACAAGTTTGAAACTGTAATTCCTGTTTTGTTGTTGATCTGGCTCCTTCAACTCTGTAGTTCCAAGTGAAGCAGAAGCACCCTCCCCCCTCTCCCCCTTCAGCTGGGGTTAATCTGTCTCAGCTTTGACCACAGAGGCACAATCAGAGGTGGAAATGGGTGTTTTGTAATGTGTGCAGCATCACAATGCAGTCTGATCTCATGCTAATACACAGCAGGAGAGTCAGCAGCCGCAGGAGGGAAACCTGATCTGAACACAACAGGACATCTGCATGAGAAAGCTGTCAGGCTACTGAGGACACAGAGGGGGAGAGGAAGACACAGATATATGAGAGAAAGCAGCTTTATCTCTATATGATGATGCAAAGAGACTCTGTGAAGTCTTCCCCTGACTGCTGAAGGAAACTCAGCGTTTTACATCAGTCCTTTTATCTGAACTGCACCATCAGGGCTGCATTTACATCACACCCCCTGACCGGCTGTAAGCAAACATTGTCTAAAGTTCACAGATTTATAACCTTAATAAGAGTTATCAGCAGTGTCTCACTGAGAGATACCGCAGGTTCTTCCTTCCTGCAGGTGTCAGACTGCACAGACACCACGGTGGACGGAGGACCCGCACACAATACAGAATGTTGAAATCTTGTGCAATAAACCCAGGATGTGCAATATACTGTACACACTTTTATCGGGGCAATTCTATAGTGCAAAAATCATAATAATGTGTATGTGTAAAAAATCGTTTTAATAATATCTCAAAATGGTGATACTTTATGTTCACTATTTAAATGGTGCTACTCATTTTTAGACATGGATGAGTACTTCTTCGTCTTTCATTTTATGTGTGAATGTTGTTTTTTAAAACTTTTTTGTCCTCTCTTTTCTCTATATTTATAATGGCAGCTACTCTATATTATTCTTTGACTTTTTACCTGCTTTGTCACTTTTGCTGTTACGCTGTACATTTCCCCACTGCAGGACTAATAAAGGAATTCTGATTCTGATCATGAATAAAGTTTCGAAAAACAGTGAATAATGTGTCACATAGATATAGACGGAGAGAATCAAACCAACACGACTTGCTGTTACTCATTTCCCTGTGGAGCCAGAGTCTGGTATGTTTCATGCTGTAAAGCTTCACTGTCACATAAGGAGTCACAGAACATGTGAAGCGCTCCACAAAGCTGCAGGAGCTTCACTGTGTCTCCATCTGGTGGCTCCTTTAAAAACACATTCATACAACTGAGTGTGGACAAGTAAAAGGGTGAGTTAGTTCACTAGATTTTATTAACCAGCTGCATCCAAATCATTCAGCATAGATAGATACTTCACTTTAATGTCACTGTTGTACGCGTTAAGTATTTGGCTTAAGATACACATCATTATACAAACTGTTAAGACTGATCTCTGCATCGTCTTTCACACACACAATGAACATGACATTTTCACATATTACACTTCCAACATATTTAATTAAATTCCTCTTTAATGCCTGTCAATCACTCTTAAAGTGCCTTATATTACCAGCCTGTGACTACCTCATTCACATAATAAGCTAGCATTAGAGACAGAATGGACTAGCCCCTAAAGAAAGAATAAAACATTATGTTCTTGTATCAATAAACTTCCTTGTGCGTTATATTTTTCGAAATCTTCCTCCTACAGTTCAATACATTGACGCCTTAAAGTGGAACTGGAGGCAGAAGTGCTGATAAGCCCCGTATCTGTACCAATACATGAGTGATTTACGTTTTAACAAAAGCTTAAAGCTTAGGTTCTCAGCTTGAATAAACTATTGTTTATTGGGTTTTATTTTTTACTAGCTCCTGCCATTCTTTCTATTGGCTATGATAAAATGTTACTTCCAAGTAATCACTGAGATCTCAACATTGCAATGAAGTAGGTCCAGAGGGACAGCAGATAAGAGCGCTCGGACAATCATACAGGTGGCCAACAGGCCAACATTGTAGCCTGATGCTTCTGTTGGAGGGAACCAGTGAGAGCATGAAGCTGAGGTCAGAGCTCCTGTGTGTGTGCAGCACGAACCCTTTAGTGTTTATTGTAACGCGTTATATACAAAAGGTGCAAAGAGCGGGGGATTTGGCGTTGTTTAAAGGCACATTTGATGACCTACCTGAAGAAACAAATAATTGTATGCATTACTTTTGCATTCATTGCTGTTGATTATGCATGTAAAGTAATATTTTTACTTTGAATAAGAAATGCTTTATGATGACAGTCTACAAAAGCGTTCGCTGGTGTTTACAGTCTCCTAAACTCAGTTTGAAGTGCATTAAAAATAGTCTGAATAGATGAGTCAGCCCAAGCCACTCATTGATGCCACATGACGCCGCTAAGGGACATTTTTTGTGTGAAGAATGACTTTGTAGTCCTGGCTGATGATTCATTTATTTAATTATTTCGTTTTTCTTTTGGAAAGAGTCTATTCACGGGATTGATTTAATAAAAAAAAAGGCCTTCTTATCATAAAGCACACATCTACATGCCTTGATTATGCCATTATTTAGCCTATATAGCTTTATTTTAAATAGTTTCTAAGCTCAATAATAGACGCAGATAATATTTGACCAGAATTTCTCCCTTTTGTCTGGGACATTGAAATCTTCCCGGAGATGTACATGGCACCACTGAATTCTATCTGAAACGCTGGACTACAGGTAAGTCCAATCAGGAGCTGACAGGAAGTTCCTGCTTTCTTCTCCGTTCACGGCATACAGTGGGCTATGAGAATGTTCGCTGTATCGTTTTACTGTTTCAGGGAAGGACCGACACCACCACCATAAAGCGTCCAATGCTGGGAGCCAGAGATGGAGTCGGACTCGCGCACTGATTAACGCGACTCGGACTTGGACTCGTGAATTCTCGCGCACGATGACTTGGACTCGGACTCGTGAATTTTTCCCCCCACGATGACTCGGACTTGACTTGTACATTGACGCTCCGACTTGGACTCGAGCAAGTTTTCTCTGGAGTCTGATGTCCTCTATCCTGGCGTGTGCACCTGCGAGGCGAGTTCACGTACTGGGCCCCGCTATTCCAGTCTAAAGATGTCTCAGACACACCCCGCATCGGTGTATGCTTTCACACATTCTGCTTCCACATTGGAAAAGAGCAGCGCAAAATGCTCGTTATGTGGAAAAAGGATTGAAGAGAAGGCTCCGTAACACATTACTCTGGATCGAGTTCAGACATATAGGCTGTCTTGAACACTATCATCCGAGTAACGTGATCTAATCAATAAATAAAGATTCAGCCGATAACACGAAAGCACATGGCTACTTAACATGCAGAATGTCTCATTTTGCATGCTAAGTAGCCATGTGCTTTCTGGGGCTTAATCTTTATTGATAGAATTTAAACATTCTCTATAATAATTGTAGCGTCCCCGGCTGAATGATGGTCAGACTCTGATGGTATCTGTTTATTGCACACCCTTGCTTTTATACAATCATTACCAACGTAAGAGCTTGTGCCCTTATCAGCCAGGTGCTAAAAACCGAATGCAACTATTTAGTATATGTTCATTTATTCGTCATCTATCCGTCATTAGCCGCGTTCCCACTGGAGTACTTTTCCCCGTACTTTTCGCGTTTAGTTCCGTTAGTACCCCTTATGTTGCGTTCACACCAAAAAGAGTACTTAGTGCCGGGAACTTTTACCCCCATTTTTAGTGCCTGCTGAGAGGTGGTACTTTCCTGGGGGGAAAAAGTGCCCCAGTTCTGATTGGCTGGGCTAATGGCAAACCACGCCCCGTAAAACTCTGAAATGTTTTGTAGAGCCGCCATTTTATTATCCTGGCATTAGCATTAGCATTCGCCCAGCGCACAAACGCAGAGAGACTAACGTATGGCAACACAAAATAAAACATGGGAGCGGTGGAGATGAGGAGGTGTCGGCATTCTGGCGATTTACTCGGAAGGCTTCAGTAGAAGCTGCTAGTCCCCAACTCCGGGGACTTCCGGCCGGGGACTCCGGGTGGCAGTATACACCGTGAAGTGGTTTGCGGCCTGCCAGTAAACCCAAAGCAGAAGAAGACGAAGTGACGTCAGCGGCTCATTTGCGTAATCTTCCCTCAGGGACTTTATTCAGGTGTGAACGCGATCTGTACTAAGTGCCCTGGGGTAATAAGTGCCGGGGCACTGAGTGCCGGCACTAAGTACGGCAAAGTACTTGGTGTGAACGCGGCTAATATACATGTGTGTTTACACTGCTCCGTTGTCCATTGACTTCCGGTAAAAGTTCCTTCAAAATAAGAGTCCCGTTCTTATTACTATCAAAATAAAAGTGCAAAACGAAAACTTTACCATAGGAAAATATTAGCATACAAATATAATCACTTCTCTAAAAGGTAACTCATTTTAAATATAGTTAGACATATTAAAGGTCATTTACAACAATAATAATAATAATATTAATATAAGTAATAAGCTTTATATTTGTATAGCACCTATTACAAGAATTGTAGCCAAACTGGCTTCACAGCAGTTCAATAGACACATTAGTATAACATGACAGGATAAAAGCAATGTAGAGGAGCAGCTACATTTCAACACATATATCCACGAAGATGAATACATGAAGACTTGTGACTCGGACTTGACTTGGACTCTTCTTGGGTGACTCAGACTTGGACTCGGACTCGAACACAGGTAATGATGACTCGGACTCGGACTCGGACACTCCTTGGGTGACTCGGACTTGGACTCGGACTCGAAGAGTGGTGACTCGAGAGTGACTTGGACTCGTGAATTGGTGACTTGACTACAACACTGCTGGGAGCGGGGCGACCCCTTTCAGCCAAAAACGGCCCTGTGGACATGAACAATGTCCCCAAGATGATCAATGACAATATCAATCACATGGCAGCCCTGCACTTAAGAAAACACTGCTTTATTATCTATTTTAAATCTCTGAAATGGCATCATCATTTATAGTTTATATTTATAGTATTGAAGAAGACTTAGCCCTAAACTACTGATTGAGACCTTGAACTCATAAGGGAAATGTCCACTGAGGTCAAATATGCAGTGGTCATTTCTCCCGTAGTTTCTGAACAATATGACTTCTTATTGCAACGAGTGGAGTCACCCCCTGCTGGCCATTAGAAGGAATTCAGGTTTAAAACTTGTGTTTTGGCTTCACTCTTCAAACCCAGAGGTTCTATGTTGGTATAAAGCCTTTTAGGAGATGAAATAATGACTTCATCCATTTGTCCCCCAAATGATCAATGTCCTTCACAGATTATGATCTTCGAGAAATCAGAAAGTTTCAACTTTCCTCCTCTTCTTCCTCTTCCTCCTCTTCTTCCTCTTCCTCCTCTTCTTCCTCCTCAGTGACTACATCCTGGTCTGCAGTGTCGGCCATCTTCCAGCTCAGAGCCCACTCTCTGCTGGGCCCCCCCTCCCCTCCATGCAGTCCCCTGTGTCTCTGGGTGCGGTGCTGGGTGGAGAAACACACCACCGTGTCCTCTTCCGGCTTCTTCCAGCGACAAATCATCCACGACTCTTTCCAAGCCTGCAGCTCTTCCATCTCCCCATCTTCCTCCTCCTCCTCCTCCTCCTCTGCATCTCCCGATCGGTGGGGGAAGGCCACCATCCACGAGTGCTTCCAGGAGGAGAAGGAGGTGTTGAGTTTGTGGAACTGCAGGTGGAGCGGGACATCATCTGTCTGTTTGATCCGGGTCTTCACTTTGTCTTCCTCCTCTTTCTTCACCTCTTCCACTTCTGCGTCCTCGTCTTCTTCTTCATCCTCCACCTCTTTGTCCTCTTCATCCTCCACCTCTTTGTCCTCTTCATCCTCCACCTCTTTGTCCTCTTCATCTTCTTTGTCCTCTTCATCTTCTTTGTCCTCTTCTTCCTTTTCTCCGTCTTCAATTTCCTCACCTCTATCTACACTATCCTCCTCTTCATCTCCTTCTTCATTTTCCTCCTCCTCGTCTTCTTCTTTGTCCTCCTGTTCCTCCTCTTTCCTAACTTCTTTTTCTTTTTGCTCTTTTTCTAACCCTTCCTCCTCTTCCTCCTCTTCCACATCTTTTTCATCCTCCTCTTCCTCTGCTTCTTCCTTTTTCACTTCATCCTCCTCTTCCAAGTCTTCTTCCTCCTCGTCTTCCTCCTCTAAATCTGTCTCCTCTTTGTTCTTGTCTCCAGCTTGGTCCAGATGTTCTGCTTCATCCTCCTCATCCTCCTTTTCTTCATCTTTCTTGTCTTTTTCTTCTGTATCCTCCTCCTCCTCACCCTCCTCTTCCTCTTCCTTTTCATCCTCCTCTTCCTTTCCCTCCTCCTCTTCCTCCTCTACATCTGTCTCCTCTTTGTTCTTGTCTCCACCTTTTTCCAGATGTTCTCCTTCATCCTCCTCCCATTCTTCATCCATCTTGTATTTCTCCTCCTCTTCCTCCTCCCCCTCCTCCTCCTCTAAGTTGTCTTCCTTGTCCTTCATGTCTCCTTCTTCCTCTTTCTCCTCCTCATCTGATTCTTTGTCCTCCTCTTCATCATCCTCACCATGTTGCTTTATGTTCTCATTCTCCTCTTCCTCAGCAACTTGTTTGTCCCTGTCCTGATGTTCTCCCTCCTCTTCCTCCTCTCCCTCCTCTTCCTCCTCTCCCTCCTCTTCCTCCTCCTTAGGCACTTCATTATCCCTGCCCATGATTTCTTTCTTTTCCTCTTTGTCCTGCTCCTCTTCATCCTCTTCCTTTAGTACTTCTTTGTCTTTGTCCTCTTCATCCACATCTTCATCATCCTCTTCTTTTTCATTCGTTCTCTTGTCCTTCTTTTCTTCTTTATGCTCCCCCTCTTCATCTTCTTCTTCACTTTCCTTGTCCTTGTCCTCACCTTTGTCCTCCTCTTCCTCCTCTTCCTCCTCTTCCTCACATAAGTATTCCTCTTGGGTTTTGTTCATGTCGTTATCCTCCTCCTCTTTGTCCTCCTCGTTGTTGAATTCTCCATCATCCTCTTTTTCTTCCTCCTCCTCATCTACTCCTTCATCTTCCTCCTTATCCTCTTCATCCTCCTTGTTGATTTCTCTGTGTTCCTTCTTCTTGTCTTCTTCTTTGACCTGATTTTCATCCACATCTTCCTTCTCCTCATCCTCATCTACTCCTTCCTCCTCCTCTTCCTCCTCTACCTCCTCTGTATCATCCATGATCTCCTCTTCCTCCTCCACCTCTCCTGCCTCCTCCTCTTCCTCCTCTTCCCCCTCCTCCTGCGTCTCCTCCAGTTCTTCCTCTTCTGGTTCTCTCCATCTCTTAGGACTCCTCCAGGCGTGTGTCCACTCTGTGCTGTCCGTCAGCTCTTGGTCCAGCTGTGATGTGAGCAGGGTGTTAGTGGCTGTGCGTCTCCTGGTCAGCCTGGCGCTGTGTCGCTGTTGGGACTGTAGTGAAGCCCTGCACCACCTGTGGAGGAAGTCATAGTTTCAGATCAGTCTGATGAACGGTAAAGCATTTAACCACGGTCAACAGACTGAAGAGTGGTGGAAGCTTTTAGAATCTCTGGTCACTTTGACCTTCAGTAATAAGAGATTGAATACATATCCCACAAAAGCCATATGATATGTGTATATATTATCTCTTATTGTAACCAATGCCAGAACCCATGGGCTATTTTGTCTGCAACAATACGCCTCATTAAGCAAGACCCCGGCTGTTTCTTAATTTGCGTTCTTCTACATTTGCTGTTTTAGGTGCATAAGTGTCCAATGCGAAGTATGGACAAATGCATTCGAGAAGGTGACAGGCTGCCATTCATTGGGAATGTAATCACCAAATGGCACCATGGCAACAACTCAGCTATTCAAGATTCAGGAGTCGCCCAGAGTCACCACATTGAGGGCTTGAGAAATGTTATAGTTTACACTGTGGAGACAAATAATCACTGTTTGGTTTCCATTGGGAAACAAAAGCAGAGCTGTTAGCTCCAACCAACTCTGTCAAAGTAGTTCAAACTAATGTGAGAAAGATCAATAGTTACAGGTAACAGCTCCCCATTTGATGCTATTTCAATTTAAGTGGACTTGAAAACAATGAATTTGTTGTTCAAAGAGGCCTCAGTATGTGTGAACATGACTGAGTACAATGCTCACAGGAACACACTGTCATACATTAATTGTTCATAAAATACCATTGTGGTGTAATGCATACTGTAAATAAGAAGTGGAAATAGTCAATGTGATGTCACGTAATGGTTTGTGGACCACAGTTTAGAAACATTGTTTTTGGCAATTTGGTGAAGGTGTTTTTAAGCGATCACAATTCAACAATTAACCATAATTGACTAAATACACTCTGTCAAAGGATTACAGTAGTACGATGACAATGTGAGCAACACTCAAACCACACTGTAGTAGCAACCTGTCAATCACATAGCAGCCCCCCCCCTTTAAGAAAAAACGTCTTTCTTGTCTATTTCAATCTCTGAAATGGGATCATAATTTATTAAATAAAAATCTTGCGGTATTGAAGAAGACTTCTTCTAATAATTAATCATTAAAACACTGATATATTTGATGTTGTATAAAGTAACAACACATATTTCTCTATCTCTCTCTGTTCTGCTACATCCTTTTAGTTTTTTTGACCTGGGTGCTTATTCTGATATTTGAAACTGCCAACAGATAAATGTAAAGAGGTTGATGCCTGAAAGTGGATCAACATTAGGCACGGGACCCTCCGCACCAACCTGATCTGCTGACTGTATCCCCAGCAGGAGTTCCAGTTCTTGTGATGTTCTTCTTCTTCCCCCACAGGAGCTGCACCGAGCAGCCAGGAGCCGCTCCAGTCAGGCAGGAACACGTCATGAATCCTCGTCATCAATGTGGTTTCAGTGCTGGGGCTTGTAGTCGGGGTCTCTTCTTCGGTCATGTCTATTGGTTCAATTTCTACCTCTGACATTTTCCATGACTCCTCCCAGTCTATGGGCTCCTCCTGTTGGGTGATCACCAAATATATAATTAAATAACACTTATAAAAAGGGGGTAATCATCTGCATCAAGCATCTGGCCTCTGACCTGACATGTTATATTTGATGTCTGAGTTCACTTGTATAAGGCCAACAAAGTTAAAAGAGCAAAAGAAAACAGGAACATATTTCTTGTAAAGATGTTGATCCCCACCTGTTCCTCTAGTTGTTGTACTTGGTCAATCTTGTCACTGAGGGTTTCTTGGTAACTTGGCCAGATACAATCCCACTTTTTTTTCTCCTGTCTGAAGGGAAAGTTTATGAACTTCCATGTGCCAGCCCAGACAGGAAGAATGTAAACTAATATCTCAGCTTTGCAAACCGGTTTCCTTTCAAACAAAATCTCCCATTGGAATTGTTTCTCCTCAGAGCATTCCAACTGGACAGGACTCTTCACCTAGACAAGGGAACAATGAAGACAAAAGATGGTTTTATAAGTGCTATTGGACTCTTCATACCTATCGTACAGTTGTCTACCCTTTTTTGACATTGTTGAATCAACTTTATAAGATATACAGCAGGTGACATCAACAGGAACCCTTTATCAGATTCACTGACTATCCTTTTAATATAGTTTTTTCATTAACATGTATTACATTATTTCTAATAATCTTTTCTCTTCATTTTATAGCTTTTCTCTGTGTTGCGCTCGGTTGCGCCGCGTCCAGTAATGGTTGTTAATGTTGGAGCTTTTATCCACTCATATTAAAGTCAGAATGTGTTGCTGGCTCTAAGTAATCTGACCTGAGGCCTTCAGAATCAACACTGCGGGCCTTGTAGCTTTACACAAATCTCAATTAAACTGTTGCATTGACCAATCCGATTTCGAGTTGGCGACACCGGGCCATCTAGCAGGCGTACGATGACGTCGGCATTCAAAGTATTTATTTATTTTCTTCTCAGAGTGTGTTTGTGATTTTTAGGGCTGGTTCAGTGAGACAATGCAGTTTTGATAATTTCAAGTTTCAAGGCTTTTATTGTCATCTGCACATTAGCTACAGTGATATGGCAATGAAAAACATAGGTCACCGGCTCCTCCAACAGTGCAACATATATATATATATATATATAGAGGACATAGAACAAATAAAACAGATTTTTTTCTCTCACCAAGGTACTGTAAGATACACTTTTATGTATGCAAAAAGTAAAAACTAGAAAAATGAAATACTTTGTCTAAATAGATTTTCTTTAAGACTGTAACTCTTAAAGGCACTTTTGTGATTTTAGTAAGACAATCCAGTTTTGTTAACATTAATGCTTTTTTGCTTTTGTTTGTGTTACTAAGATACTTTTAGATACACTTTGAAGTGTGCAACTGGTAGAATATGTACTTTGTAAGGAATTTGGTTTCTTTTAATGGCCGTTTTTTTATTTGAACACTTGTTCAGTTAAACCAGGGGTGGGGAACCTCCGGGCCGTATACGACCATTTGATACGGCCCTCGAGTTCACACACGCAAAAAAGAAAAAATCTAGGCCGCAAAAAAATTAAACAAGCGAGTGCCTGTTTTTCCTGGCCAAGGTCAGGGTCCTTGAACACAACACGGGCCTAACGTGTCATCATGTGGTATATGTCTCGTCTGACAGGGTTGCAGTTCTGACGGAGAGCACCAGAACTCCGCAACGGCACTTCCAAAAATTGCAGTACCCATAAGGAGCCGTACACATGCCGCAGTTTTTGCGTGACTGTGTCTTTAGTTGAAAGCCCAGTGGCGATCTGTTCATCTGTCATACTGATCATACAGTCAATAACTTTGTTGTTATTAGCATCTGGTTAGCTAGCTATGCTAACGAATATAAGAAGCTTTTTCTACAACCAGTGAGGTAAAGGCACATCTTTATATGATCATTATAGTTATAAAAAAATAAGAGAATAAAGTAAACAGGTAAAAAATACTATATGACAGTAAAACAAAGTTGTTATTAATAAACAAGAATACAGTTTGAAAGGGGAGTGATTTGTAAAATATTCATAAAGAAAAAGAAATCTGCTTACAGTTCTGTTTCATATGGGTGTTGAGAGATGTATCCATAGATCTCCTAATGTTGCTCTCAAAGTGCACCAGATTGATGCTTTTAACTTCAATATTTAAAAAAAAAAGTCTTCCCGGGGGAGCATGCCCCCGGACCCCCCTAGAGGAGGTTAGGTTTTGATACACTTTTATGTAGGAACATTTTACAACTGGTAGATTGTCAATTACTTTGTAACAAATGTATTTTCTTAAAGACTTTGACTCTAAAAGGCAAGTTTGTGATTTTAACACTTTTGTTTACTGACACTAGGCAGATTTAGCTTTTTTTCTCTCGTTGTCTTTCTCTTAATTTTGGATACAGTAAGTACTTTTTCTGAACAGATTTTCTTTAAGAATATGACTTTGAAAGGGACGTTTTTGTGATTTTAACACTGTTTCGGTGAAACAACGCAGTTTTCTGGAAATAACTTAAATTATTTTTGCTTTTTTTTTTTTTTTTCTCCTACAAAGATACTTATAGTTACACTTTAATGCAGTGGTTCTCAACTGGTGGGACCCATTTCGTCCGCAGATGTGTGAGTGAAGAAAAAAAAACTAGAAAAAAAACTTCTGTCACGTAGTGATCATCTTCTCAATAAAACATCTTTGCTGATGTTTTTTCGAGTCTTCTGGCCAATCAGAATCAAGATTGTTGCCGGAAGTCCCCACGGAGAATTACTTTGATGTAGAACTATTCTTTATACATCCATGGGTACAACTTCAGATAAAAATGAACACATAATGAAATATGACCCCCGGTTTGATGATTGACAGGTCACAGAACAATGGGGGCTATCTACCCTACCCACAATTCACACAGACAAGTTCAGCTGTCAGAACAAAGTGAAAAACAAACAATGGCATAAAATATTATTAATATGTCGGGTATTTATTTATTTTCTTCTCAGAGTGTACCAGAATGCGTAGTTTATATGTTAGTATTTCTTAAAACCATACTTTAGTTCTGTGAAGGGATATACTGTATGCACTGTACTTCACTTTAATTCATATTGTATGCTGAAAAGCGTATATTACAGCACGATTCTTTGTTGAATAGATTTGAGTGGTTCAAAATTCGGGTCGCGATTTGTTGACAAAGGAAAAAGTGCACTCATAAAAACGATTCAAGCCCTTCTTAGACTTGACACAATAAACACATGTTCGCTTTATTAAATATTTTTATTTAAGAAATAAACCTAAGTATAGTTCATTAGTGTAACACAAATTACATTAATCAATTCACTTATTAAATGTATTTAGGACAGATCAACTCAAAATGAATTGTTTTCATCTGGGGACCGCCCCTTTGCACATCCCCTTTGCACATGCGCAACATCCGTTCTGTCTTTTACCGCCTTTTGTCTGACACTGACTGTGGAAAGTCTATTCTTTGGTAAGTATTTCTTTTAGTAGTTTCTTAGTAGTGTGTAGTAGTTTAGAACGTACCCTGTTTCCAAGTAATGCCTTTTCATAATATCAACAAGAAGATTTGAAACCACCGTGTTATATTTTGCTTTTTAGTTGGGTCTAAACGGCAAGCTAGCTATAGCTAGCCAGATAACTGGTAGCTAGAAGCTAGCTTGCTACATGTGGGTAGCATTGAATACCTGCTGGATAATGGAGATCAGTAGATTGTATTATATTAGATTTAATGTTATTGTCATTGAACACAGTAGGCCTACACCAAAATTCAGTTTATATCCAACCAAAAAAATGCAAAGAGTAATTCATGAGGTGCATGAGGTAACAGTATAGGGGGCAGAGCATGCATGCCCCTGCAAGCGCCGCCATTTTCTATCATAAAGCTCTGCAGGTCTGTCCACCTCTCCTGGCCTTAGTGCAGGCAGGCACAGGAGGACAGGTGAAGCCACTCGTTTCTGTAGGAGTTCAGTTGAGTTTAGGCACTGGTCTTTTTTTTACTGCCAAATATTTAATATAAATAATGAGATAATATATGTGCTGAATCTTTTATGGGTAACCTCACTCACAAGCAGGCACCCACAATTGTGCAGAAACGTAGGCCTAAGTTACTTTTTTGATTCCATTTGACTTCTCAGAGTAGTTTTAATGCTGCATACTTTTTGCTCGTACTTGAGATAAACCTTTAGAAAAAGAGTCATCACTTTGAATTGGTTAGATTTGGGTGATTCTACCGCAGCCCCCTTACATCGTCTCCACACTTAACACAATGGCTAATGCTAAAGCTAACGCAGAACTCCAACTTGTAATAAAGCTAAAGAGGCAGGAGCTAATTTATACAGAAGTATTTACAGCGTACAGTGCAGCGGGCTCCAGTGTGTCTTCTGTTCTGTGAAAATGTTAATAACAGTAGCACACGGTTTAACGTGCTTTAAAACTAATACTAGTAGGCTACTCTAGTACCCCCCCCCATCTCTGTTGTAATGTTAATATTCAAACTAACTAGGGATGCATGCGATGTTTTACTATGTAAAATGTAATAGTAGCATTTATGCTGACTGGGGCAGCCTTGTCCGTTTAAGACAGAGACGGGGGGATACGTGTGTGGCGCGTGCATGTGTAGAGCGAGTGAGAGGGAAGTTGAGCGAGCCGTAGTACGTTTCTGGAAGTTAACGGGAGTAGCAGCAGTATAACAAAGTCATAAATATAAAATACGGCCTCCGAAGAACATTGAATGATGTATTTCATACTGATCCTGCAGACACCCACTACACGGGGCGGAAGTCCTGCAGCATGTGCGTCCCCCCTGCAGCGGCAGAGCCCCCCCCCCCCTCCAAATTACTTTAAAGTTACGGCAGACCCACAGTTACTCTACCCACTGAAGCACACGCACACTGCTTGCTTTCTCGCTGGACTTACTAGCTTTTCAGACCCTCTTAGCGACTTTATCTCTAAAAAGCGACTAGCGAAAAATCTAGCGAGTTATTGAGATCATCAGGGGGAAAGTGGGAAATCTACACCAATCTATTATATTGTAATTTATTCCTTCGCTGTTCACTCAGCGGGGTCTCAGCACTGCGTCTTCCCCTCTGGCGCTGTGCGAACACAGGCACGAGTGAGATTGAGTTACTATGGTTACAGTTACGCTATTTCTCTGAAACTGTTCAACACAAACAAAAACTGACCTGATCCAATTCAAACGGTATCATTACTACAGAGATGTGGTATGTTCTTAGGTAATTACAGTGGAACTATATGCTTAATTTAACAACATAAACACCTAGCATAATTATAGTATAAATGTGTATGTTTGTATGTGTTGACCGTTTTTATTATTGTCCATAATGATTAATAGCTCCACAATCGCAATTTGAATTTGCCAATTATCCTACATCCCAATTTGGTAGTAATTCTGATAAACAAGTAACACATTGTTGTATTTTGTTTGTCAATAATATTTTGAA